AAAAATCAAGTAATCTCATTGGTCACTGTCGGCAACATCAGTTTTGTTAAAAATTAACTGTTAATAATTTGTCCTGTTTTTTTAAAACCAAACCATGTGCTGATGGGGCACCCATGCAGGCATGCTCCCGAGCCAGGCTGTGTGCTTCCATAGAGTCTCTTTTGTGACCAGGAAGAGAGGAGAGCAGGGCTGCTGGTGGGACAGCACTGGATTGAGAGAGGAGACAAGCAAATGTTTAGGGAGAGAGCAAGTAGTGGGGAGGTTTTTGTATTAATACATTAAGGTAACAAAATCTTTTTTACTTTAGAACCACTTTATTCATTATCCATACGTGCCTATTACAAATTAAAGTGGTTCTAAAGGCTGCAGGTTGTTTACCTTCATGCAATCTATGCATGAAGGTAAAAAACCTTCAGGGTGCAGCTCTCCGTGCATTCCCCCCTTATATTTACCTGAGCCCGATCATGATCCAGCGATGTGCACGAGAACCGAAGCTCTCCCAGGACTCTCACTCCTTATAGGCTGAGACATTGGCTTAGCCAGTGAAGAGGGAGATAGGGGCAGGCTGAGCCACGCTTTGAGTGTCCCAAAGTCACACAGAGGCAGCTCTGGAGTGAGCAGGCACGAGTAACCCCAGAGCAAGCAGCTTGTTCTAGGGGCACTCAGCCAGCGAGAGGTGCCAGAAGCGCTTTCAGGAGACCAGAGAAGAGGAGGATCCAGGCTGCTCTGTGCAAATCCGAAAAAAAAAACCCAAGGCTTTAGAACCACTTTAACTAAAGATTAATTTTCCTGTAACAATATTCATATGCTAAATAAACAACACATTGCTTAATAGAAGAACTTCAGTAAAATAAAGCTGATTTCTGAGGTTACAATTATTTTTGTATGGTGTCTCTTTTCTGCCCACTGAAACATTCTGAACTGTCTCTGAACCCTGAGACTGACTCACACTATCCCATCCACTCACATTGCATGAAATTGTATTGCAACAGCTGCAGCATGCCAATGACTCTATTGTTTCAGTTGCTAATTGAGGCGTATTCCTATCTACCTACTGCCTGTTTATTCATTTCAGAAAGGGTGCTGTATATACAGTATATATATAAGAATTACAAAAAAAAACATTAATATTGTAAGGTCTTGTGAGCAGAACCCTTTGAACACTCCTGTATTGAACTGGATTGAAACTGTACTGTCTCCGTTAGATGTGTAAAGTGTTGGCGCTATATACATGAAGAAGAAGACGAAGAAGAAATAGAAAGATAGATAGATAGATAGATAGATAGATAGATAGATAGATAGATAGATAGATAGATAGATACATAGATAGATACATAGATAGATACATAGATAGATACATAGATTCTGGATACTTTCTGAAGATAGTAGACCTAAGTTATATCAGTAGGATCCACTGACTAATCATCTTGATAAAAGTTTTTGGTGGCATCTCGGTAGCGTCAGTAGTAGCTGGCCCCACTCACTCCCACCCCTTGTAGCCTGAGCAGCAGCTGAACACAATCAGACTTCTGTTACGCACATTCACAGCCGTATCCTTTGTGTCTGACTTCTGGCTGCAATTTATTCGATTTCAATTTTAACCTCCTAGACTCCTCCTTTATTGGCTGCGCCCACCCTTCCTTCCTCCATTACCTGTTTCCTGTCTCTTCTGGCAGCCCATGTGTGTGTCTCTCTCCTCCCTGCAAGGTTTTCTAGGGTCATGTGTTCCCACCCTGCATTCTGGACAAGCAGGGAATGTGGGCTGGAGGAACAAGGAGAGGCTTATATTGGCCGTTCCCTGCCAGGCAGAGCTGTGTGTAGCTCTCTCTGTTTCTGCTGGGGCTAAAAACATATTAAAATGATCTTCAGTGGCACCGTGCTTTAGGAAAGTGAAACCTTATGTTCATGACATGGGAAGGGGGGAGCTATAAATGTGTAGATGGATCTTAAAGGAGAACTTGAGAAAGGAATACAATATACTGTAAGAAATAGGTTAAAAGAAGATTCGCTTATGTTGATTTTGATGTTCTATTGGACAGGAAATCTAGCAATGTACAACTGATTTGGTCTGTGATAGCCCCAAAAGGCTGCTTGTGACAGAAGGGTTTCAGTGTATGTTCAGGACCATGTTAGCCAATGAGCTATTCAACACGTAACTTACAAAGGTTTAGGACTCGGTAGAACAGAGCACTGGGGGTTTGTGAATAAAAGCAGATTGTGATTGAGCTTTAAAGAGACATTCATGGCAAATGTCAGAGTCCCTTTAAAGCCCATTTCCAACCCTCCTTTCATCTAACCTTCCCCACCATTCAACTGGAACTGCAGCAAAATGGCTGGTGCTTACAGGTTTGGAGAAGAATGTGACCTCCCTAAATATTGACATCATCCTCCTACACTGACATCATCAAACTTTGACAATGAGCTTACACATAGTCTAGAATGTGGTGGAACAGAGCAGTGGAGGAAGGTGAATGTAAGTGGATCAGGGGGTGGGCTTTAAAGAGACATAGGGTAAAAAGCTCACCACACTTCCACACTTCCTCTACCCTTCCACACTCTTAGTCCTCCAATATGGGGCAAACTCTGAGTCTCTTTAAAGCCCACATCCTACTTCCTCTAACTTTTCCTGCACTCCTCCGCAACTCAACTGAACAAAATGCCCAATGCTTCTGGGTATTGGGAAGCATGTGACCTCCTTCGGTGATGCAGTGAATGGGTTTAGCAGCCAATCACCAGGCTCAAATACTGTCATGTAAGGGAGGGGTGATGTTATCAAACCATGTTCAAGCTCTGACACCATCTGACAAAGAGCTTACACAGGGTTAGGAATGCAATGGAAAAAATCAGTGGTGGAAGGTGAGTATAAGTTGTTCAGAAGGTGGGCTTTAAAGAGGCTCTGTCACTTTACCCTTAATGACGAAAATGAGAGAGAGTCTCTTTATCATATTCAACATATACAGTACAAGAGAAGATACTCTCTAAAAATGAAAACATTCAATCAATGCTTGTGACAAACATTGTGGGGTTAACTCCCCAGCAATAAGGAACATCAGTCAGCAACTGATAATAATTCCTTCAATGCGTGTTTGTCATATGTCAGCGTTGGCCAAGTCTCAGAGAAAACACAGCAGGTCCTGCAGGTGCATGATCTAGAGGAAGACAAGAAGATCTCTAACCTATAAATATAGACTTTTGAGTGTGCAATCAAGTGTAACCCATGGAGCTCAAGCTAAAGGTGGCTATATGCAGCTGGATATTTCCATGCAATGCTATTATTTACGAACTGCCTGCAATGATCCAGCCAGGTAATGGTTCACATCAGAGCGATAACAAGCACTCCTGTTAGCCGGAAGCGCTTGTTATCGCTCACAGAGATTTTCTGAGGATCATGAATAAGTGTGGATCGTTTCTATGGAGACAAAGAAAAGAACCTTCCATCTATCACACACCGTATTGTATCGTAGTCAGGAAGAAAAACACAACAGGTTATTCTAGATCAGTGATGCCATTAGTGACTGGGCAGGTGTTTCACTTTTTTTTTAGCTTTTTGTGACACATATGGGGGGCTCTATAATTGGAGTCGCATGACAGTCACTGCATGGTGAGTGTGTTACATGATGATCATGCGACTGCTTTACTGTTTAGCAGACTAATATAAAAGAGTATTCAAACATTTTTTTAAAGCGATACCAAATGCACACTGTTGAATTTACATTATCCCTTCTTTTACTGTATATGGATGATGTTTCTGTAATTTCTTTAATTAGAAAAACACATCTAAGTACCTTTTGTCTTAATCGATATTCAGCTGCCACATGACCCAGCTCTTTCCCAGCCTGTCGGCAGGAAAACATAAGCAGGAGGAGCTCTTATTCCTCTGCTGCTGGTCACATGGTCAAAATTAAAAAAAAAAAAAACAGCTTTTGGGATGCAGAGTAAAAATAAATGATCAATATAAATAAACTGCTTTAAATTAGCATACAAATATAAATTTGAAATTAAACCTTTATTATTTTTGGCAATAACACAGTGTGGGCGGATTTCTGCCAATCACAGTCTGTATCACACCCCTGCAGCCTGTGTCTTAATCAGGTTCATTCTGCAGCACGGGTCCTCTGTTGCCTTGAATGACACCCAGTGCAGAAGGCTCAAGGAACTTTGGAGTTGGACTTTAGTATGTATGAGCTTAAAATGAGAAACAAAAAAAACAAATTATGTCTTGTATCAGGTCTACTTTAAAGCGGAGTTCCAGACTTTTTTTTTTTTCCCTTGAAAGACAATGGTCTCCCTCTTCACAGTCCGTTTTGGCTATATATATATGTAGATTTTTTTTTTTCCTAAATACCTTTTATTGATAATTTCTGTCTCCACTTCTGGTCCCGACTGCCTAGGCGATTACATCATCAGGCATTCCCTAGGGCTTCTGGGATATCATCTATACCAGCAGTCCTCGGGAATGCCTGATATCAAAATCTTGCATTATGATGAGACCGGAAGTGATGCGATTGTGGGGATTTCTTCACACTGCGCAGGTGCGAGAGATCGCTCCTTCTTCACACTGCGCAGGTGCGAGATCGCTCCTTCACACTGCGCAGGTGCGAGATCGCTCCGTCTTCACACTGCGTAGGTGCAAGATCACTCCTTCTGCACACTGTTTAGGTGCGAGATCGCTCCTTCTGCACACTGCGCAGGTGCGAGATTGCTCCTTCTTCACAATGCGCAGGTGTGAGATCTCTCCTCCTTCACACTGCGCAGGTGTAAGATCGCTCCTCCTTCACACTGCGCAGGTGCTAGCTCGCTCCTTCTTCACACTGCGCAGGTGCGAGATCGCTCCTCCTTCACGCTGCGCAGGGGCGAGATCGCTCCTTCTTCACACTGGGCAGGTGCGAGATCGCTCCTTCTTCGCGCTGCGCAGGTGCGAGATCGCTCCTTCTACACACTGGGCAGGTGCGAGATCGCTCCTTCTTCACTTTGCGCAGGTGTGAGATCGCTCCTCCTTCACACTGCGCAGGTGCGAGATCGCTCCTTCTTCACGCTGCGCAGGTGCAAGATCGCTCCTTCTACACACTGCGCAGGTGAGAACTCGCTCCCTCTTCACACTGCGCAGGTGCGAGATCGCTCCTTCTTCACACTGCGCAGATGAGAGATCGCTCCTTCTTCACACTGCGCAGGTGCGAGATCGCTCCTTCTTCACACTGCACAGGTGAGAGATCGCTCCTTCTTCACACTGCTCAGGTGCGAAATCGTTCCTTCTTCACACTGCGCAGGTGCGAGATCGCTCCTTCTTCACACTGCGCAGGTGAGAGATCGCTCCTTCTTCACACTGCTCAGGTGGAAGATCACTCCTTCTGCACACTGTTTAGGTGCGAGATCGCTCCTTCTGCACACTGCGCAGGTGCGAGATTGCTCCTTCTTCACAATGCGCAGGTGTGAGATCTCTCCTCCTTCACACTGCGCAGGTGTAAGATCGCTCCTCCTTCACACTGCGCAGGTGCTAGATCGCTCCTTCTTCACACTGCGCAGGTGCGAGATCGCTCCTCCTTCACGCTGCGCAGGGGCGAGATCGCTCCTTCTTCACACTGGGCAGGTGCGAGATCGCTCCTTCTTCGCGCTGCGCAGGTGCGAGATCGCTCCTTCTACACACTGGGCAGGTGCGAGATCGCTCCTTCTTCACTTTGCGCAGGTGTGAGATCGCTCCTCCTTCACACTGCGCAGGTGCGAGATCGCTCCTTCTTCACGCTGCGCAGGTGCAAGATCGCTCCTTCTACACACTGCGCAGGTGAGAACTCGCTCCCTTTTCACACTGCGCAGGTGCGAGATCGCTCCTTCTTCACACTGCGCAGATGAGAGATCGCTCCTTCTTCACACTGCGCAGGTGCGAGATCGCTCCTTCTTCACACTGCACAGGTGAGAGATCGCTCCTTCTTCACACTGCTCAGGTGCGAAATCGTTCCTTCTTCACACTGTGCAGGTGCGAGATCGCTCCTTCTTCACACTGCGCAGGTGAGAGAACGCTCCTTCTTCACACTTCGCAGGTGAGAATCGCTCCTTCTTCACACTGCACAGGTGAGAGATCGCTCCTTCTACACACTGCGCAGGTGAGAGATCGCTCCTTCTTCACACTGCACAGGTGCGAGATCACTCCTTCACACTGCGCAGGGGCGAGATCGCTCCTTCTTCACACTGCACAGGAGCGAAAATGGGAAGTGCATGCTGGGTAGCCAGCTGCACAATTTCCCGGAAGAATGTCTGAGCGAGCTTCATGTGCCCACACTTAAGATGACAGCGTTCACAATATGAGGATGCAGTAAGTAAATTTATTTTTTATAAGGAAAGCAAAGGATTACAAGTACAGGTGATCTCAACTTGCATTGCCTAAGCTGCCACTCTCACGTGGGTGCCTTTAGAAAAAAATGAAACGGCTGGAACTCCGCTCTAAGTGGGCCTTGACTCTTACTCATCACATCACAATTTGAGGTAAGTAGAAAGATAGTGTTGGACCATAGGGTTGTCTTACTGGTATTGTTATCGTAAGGTATTGAAGTTGGTGTAAGTGATCTGGTTCCTGGGCAGGCAGCTTCTGCACCCCAGAGGATCTCCAGGGTCTCCTTGGCTTGTAGTGTAATGTAACAAGAATTAAAATTGAAGCACCATGCCACTGCTAAGAGGTCCTGATGCAACTTTATTCCATTATAAATCAGGGGGACAATCCAAAAACGTAACCAACACGTTTCGGCAGTCCAAGTGCCCTGTTCATCAGAGCTTGACTGGCAACAATGTGAACAAGCCTGAAGTGAACTGGACCTACAATGGTATTTTCTCCAGTATGAAATACAAGCACAGGCCGTATCAGCAGCTTGTTTGGCAGTCTTACTCATCACAAGGTAGATAAAATCTGTCTTGCATATAATGAAAATTCACTAACAAGCAAAGAATCACCATCTGATTGTCTTGTCAGAAAGGTTCATTAACTCACATTAGTCATTTGCAGTCTTTAACTGAAGTAGTACTCTTTTGCAACTTTTTCTGCTTTCCTCATTACCTTAATCTATGCAATATACATAGTAGTGTTCCTGGAATTCAAGTGTACCTGTGGGGGAGTGAGGGGGGAGAAATAGTAAAGTGCCACTTACAATGATTAGCAGGGAACTCCAGTGGATTGTATACTACCTCTGACTGCCTTTAGAGCACCCCAGGAAGACGGGAAAATATCAACTCATGCACATTCCACCTGGATATGATGACACACAAGAAGAGATTTTGGAAAAGTAGAAGATATTAGATACAGGAAATTACAGTTAATAGTGAAAGAGTTTAAATAGGCAGTTTTTTTATCTATTCTTATTTTAGAAAATGTATATTCCTGGTATCCCCAGGTTTCTGTCAGACACATGAGTGGAAACCTGAATTTCTAATTCAAAGGCTAGCTGTTTCCCTCCATAGCTGTATAGACCTAAAGCCAAACAAAAAAAAAATTTAATGATTGTAGACTCATGGATCTGTATTCAAACTTCTGTTCTTGTTCCCACATGTAGTGTAGAAGGTGGGCATTTATTTATTTTTAGGCTGTCAGGTACTAGATGTACTGTAATACCTCGATTCACAAACTTAATTCGTTCCATGACTCTGGTCAAGAAACCGAATTGGTCGTGAACCGAGGCAAATTTTCCGATAGGGTTCAATGTAAATCAGGTTAATCCATTCTGACCCCTACGAACGTGGTCGCAAACCGAACTTGGTCGCCAACCAAATCAAATTTTCCCATAAGGTTCAATGTAAATAAGGTTAATCTGTTCTGAACTTTTTTTTTTGTTGTTTTAGAACCACAAAAATATGAAACAAAGTACAGTATAGTACAGTATGAAGAGAGAGAACACTAACCTTGCTTGAGACAACTTCTGGCATGGAGAACAGGAAGGCGGGTGGGAGCCGGTTATTGTTCAGAAGGAGAGTCCCCCTCCATAAGGACATTGGGGAGACCTCCTTCATAGGCTTGTGCCCCAGCAGTGCCTTTTCCTCCTGCATGATATAGGTTCTGTTCAGCATCTTTCTCCAGAAGAGCCCTGTTTCATCACAGTTCAACACTTGTTGAGCGATGTATCTCTCTGCCTTTATGAATTCCACAAATTCTTTCTTGTAGGCTTTTGCAGTGACCTTATCAGAACTGGAAGCTTCACCATGTCTTGTCACACTGTGGATGCCACTTCTCTTGCGGAATTTTCCAAACCATCCTCTACTGGCTTTAAATTCTTCACTTGCTGCACTTGTAGAGGGATTTTTTTGCAGTAAATCACTGTGCAATTTTCCTGGCTTTTTCACAGATCCTATCTTCACTAATGCTATCACCTGTCAGCTGTTTATCATTCAACCACACTAAAAAGTTTTTCCACCTCTTCCAGCACTTGCGTCCTCCGTTTGGTTAACATCGTAACTTCTTTTGCCACATAAGCTCCTTTGATGGCAGCTTTCTTTTTCAAAATAGAGGAGATTGTTGACTTTGCCATCTTGTACTTCGAGGCCAGATCAGTCACATGAATACCATGGTCATGCTTTTCTACAATTTCCTTTTTCAACTTAATGGTTTTTTTCTTCACAACCTTATTCTTACCATTCTTGCTCTGCACTTTCTTTTTACCACCATGCTTGCAATGCACATTCATGTCACCTTAATTACTGCTCTGCAGATTCTTGTCACCTTCATTACTGCTCTGCACATTCTTTTTACCACTATGTTTGCGCTGCACATTCTTGTCACCTTCATTACCGCTTCGCACTTTCTTTTTACCACTATGTTTGCTCTGCACGTTCTTATCACCTTCGTTACCGCTCTGCACGTTCTGGTCACCTTCATTACCATTCTGCACTTTCTTTTCAACAACATGCCTTCTCTGCACATTCTTGTCACCTTCATTACCGCTCCGCACTTTCTTCTTACCACCATGCTTGCTCTGAATTTTCTTTGGAGTCATACTGGATGTCTGGTACAGTATGTGCTAAAAAGCACACAAAAAAACTTTACAGCAAGTGACCACAGGGATGTACAGTACAGTACTGTACAGTATGTGCTAAGATGCACACCAAAAAGCTTCTCAGTACTGTAAGTGTCTTCACAGTACACTTTCAGTGTCTGTATGTGACCGTGATCTTGCCTACAGAAAGTAACGACCACGTGTCAGAGCAGGGAAGATGGCCGCGGCTCGTGTTTGTCAACTGCAGCGGAGTTTGCAAACTGAAGCAAATTTTTGTGAACTCTTCTGTTCTCTAACTAAGTTGTTCATGAAGAGAAGTGTTCGTTAATTGAGGTATCACTGTACAGTATATACCATCTGTTCTGTCAATGCAAGTGGAGCACCTTCCTAGGTAGGTGCTAGGTTTAGTTTGGATTTAGTTAACACTATAGTCAGTGTGATTGCAATTTGCTGTTAGGTAAAAGCATATCTGGCACACTGCATCAGTGATGCCTTGTTCTGCTATTTAGGTCTATTCAGTTTGATCTGCTCTGCCAGGATGAAAGATCTGTCTGCATCTAGAAGACTTGGGAAGTTTCTAGATCATTGTTGTGAAGCTATGCAGATTGCAACATAAATATTAATACTGCCCCAGCCTATCCCAGAGATATAGCCTCTGATAGCATGCTGGGTAATTGTATATATTCAGTGAGCACCCTGGGTCTTTTCTGTCTAGGAATGGTCTAGCCTGAGAAAAGGCACGCTGCCCTCCTAGGCAACTACTGCTATGTGGCCTCAGGTGGACAACCTGAGGGCCTGAATGCTGAGACCCGGGTTCTACTAAAGCTGACTGAGAGATTGTCTACTGAAGATCTGGTCTGGTATCATGGAGGAAGGCATCCAGCTGCTCTTAGACCTTGTGAATACAGACATCCCTAAAGGATCTTAGAAAATGTGTGCAGTTTAACCCCCTCTGGTGCTAGGAACTCAGCAGCGGGTCTAGCAAAGGGAACACCAACTGGTGTTCTGAAGAGCTTTGTCCATCTGACCTACTACATAAAGGGATACTGCTCTGGTGCTTTAAATAAGTTACTACTACTATGTCCTTAAGCTGAAGTCCACTGTTTGATTCAAGCAAGGACTCCTACATAGTTTATCCTGAAGATTAAATAAAGTCCTCAAATGTATATACTGTAGTTCCTGTTTTGAAGTATCCTGCTCGTCTCCCTCAACTCTATCCAAGTTCTCCAAAAACTGATTGATTAGACTGATTATTGGAGAAATGTGTAAATAAGCCTATGTGCCTGGCTGTGGGGCAAAGTATTTGGGGAAGATCTGGACAGTATTTCCTGTGCCTCCTATGGGAGCAGCACTACCAATGGAAAGAAGGTAAAAGTTTTAAAAATTGCTGTAAACTAAAAACAATGCTAAAAAATTAGCACCTTTATCAACTTTGATTGAGAGAAAATCTGGGTCAACAATGCATTAACCTGCTGTTAGTGCAAAAAAGGTTGGAGAAATAATATGCTCAGATGGCTGCCATATCTTCATTAGACAGTGCCCAAGATGGTTTTCTACTGGCAGAAAGAGAACTAAATTTGTACCCATCTGACTGCCCTAAATTTCTGTATATCCCCTAGGCCATAGTTTTAAAAAATCTCCAGGCCCATGGTGTTGTGTTATGAAAATATTGGCCATGCATTTGTGGTAAACTCTATGACTCCTTTTGTTCCTCTCTCTCTCTTGTACCTTTTGACCAATAATGCTATGCATTTCATTAGCAAGGCATGGGGGAAGCAAGAAGAAGGCCATAGCTAGATCATGATGATATTTGGTTGATAGAGCACCCCAGGTTTTGAGGGAACTGCTAGTAATCTGGAGATAACTGAAGATGAGGAAGTAGTAGAGATTTTGGTTGTTAATTGTAGTACATGGCAGGTTTGGGGGTCCCTGGATGCCCTATAAGGGAGCAGAGACAGTGTGGAGGGATCTATAGATACCTGCTATTTATGTGATGTGATGCTGTAGAATTTTTTTCTTTCCACTGATTTGTTCTTTTTTTTCTAGTCAATGGGCCATATTTGCTCCTGGGCAGCCACATGTTACAGTTACACCTTTGGAACTGCACT